CTAGCAGTTCGAAAGCACGTCCAAGTGCAAGTAGATAGATAGGTACCTTCCGGCGGGAAGGTAAACAGCGTTTCCTTGCACTGCTCTGGTTCGCCAGAAGCGGCTTAGTCATGCTGGCCACATGACCCGGAAGCTGTACGCTGGCTCCCTTGGCCAATAAAGCGAGATGAGCGCCGCAACCCCAGAGTCGGCCACGACTGGACCTAATGGTCAGGGGTCCCTTTACCTTTACCTTTATACAATGAAAATGTTAAAGAGTTCCACAATCTAAAGGCTGCTACAGAGAAAACTCACCTTTACTCACACTTCTCAGTCCGCTCTGTTTATCTTAACACCTGAGAAGGATCATAGCGATGGAGGCAGTCTGTCAGATTTTGGGGACCTAAATCGTTAGAGCTTTAAATACAGGAGAATGTTTGAAGTTATCCTGAAGCTCAATAAGGGATAATTTTTTCCTAGTGTGTTCTAACATCTCACTGGATTCCCCCCCCCCCATTCCCTCCCTCTCCAATTTGGTTCTATATTTTAAAAAAATGTTTATCTGCTGCAAATCCTCAGCATGAGCTTGACTAAAACCTAAACCAATTAGCAAAACAGTTGTGACAAGAAACACCCACCCACACACAATGACAATTATAGATGCATAGTCTAATCAGAAGTATGGCAAACTCGACTGAATTCACTAGGGCTTACTCCTAGGTAAATGCCTTTGCAGCTCTTAATTCCTGGAGGCACAGGCCGCAGTTGTCATAAAAATGACGGGCACTTTCATAATGCGATCAGATTTTGTGCCAATTATTTTCGACGAATGGCTAGAGGACATGCAAAACATTCCGTGCGCAAATGCAGCTTTACAGATTGGCCGCTTGGTGTCAGAGATGTATTACACATTTGCTGCTCATGTGCTATGACACAGGGCTTCTAAAATCAGACATGCTGTCTACTGTAACAACTGCTCTCCCATTTATTTGTGAGATGGTTCTTGCCAGCAGAGTGCCTTGTCCTTTTTATTCTGATTTCCATCCTCTCTGACACGCTCTGCATGCCTCATCAGTTTCCATTTCTCCCTCACCTTCCATTTTTTTATTATCTGTATATCTCTGAATGCTAACACAATACTAACTATGCAGCTGACTGAAAGGTATCTGACACAAAATGTTAATAAAAGATGTACTTGCTTCCCCTGAGGATGTTCTGTGTGCTCATAATTAGGCCTGTTTTGAGGGAAAACATTCATCAAAAAAGCTTTCAAATGGAAAAGGTGGTTTCTGCTGAAATGGTAAATCCCATCATGAAAAGATTGCTTTTGACTTCATGTCCCATTTGGCAAAATTAAAACTTCTGGTCAGCACACTGAAGGGAAACTCTCTTCTTTTTTTAAAAAAAAAAGTTTCAATTTCTTCACTAAGGTGAATAGTTTTTCAGATTTTGATGGAAACTGAGTTTTAAAATGGATCTTGACCATCTTCCCTGGTGCAGAGTTCTGGAGTGCTCAAAAGCTTGCATGCCAATTTGTGACATTTTCATTAACCTAATAAAGACAATGCTCCAACATGGATTTCAGAATGTTTTAATTGTGTTTTTTTAAATAAACTTCTAAATTGTTTAATACTATATTTAATACAATGTTTAGTACCATGTTAAGCATTTTAACTTTTTGATTGTTTGTTCTAGCTGTTTTACCTTTTTAATTTGTGTGGGTTTTTGTAGTTTATTTTATTTATTGATTTATTGATTTTATAGGTAAAGGTAAAGGTACCCCTGCCCATACGGGCCAGTCGTGTCCGACTCTGGGGTTGTGCGCCCATCTCACTTAAGAGGCCGGGGGCCAGCGCTGTCCGGAGACACTTCCGGGTCACATGGCCAGCGTGACAAGCTGCATCTGGCGAGCCAGCGCAGCACACGGAAACGCCGTTTACCTTCCCGCTAGTAAGCGGTCCCTATTTATCTACTTGCACCCGGGGGTGCTTTCGAACTGCTAGGTTGGCAGGCGCTGGGACCCAACAACGGGAGCGCACCCTGCCACGGGGATTTGAACCGCCGACCTGACGATCAGTAAGTCCTAGGCGCTGAGGTCTTACCCACACCGCCACCCGCGTCCCATATTGATTTTATATACCTCCCTATACCCAGGGGTCTCAGGGCGGTTCACAGAATAAAATGAAGATATAAAATCACACAATACATAATAAAAATAAAAGTAACAACAACCCAATAACACCCCCGTTCTAAACAAAATCTGCCCTTCTTCCCTTATGGGGTATCCAAGAGCCTGTACAGAGTCCTTAAGTCGGGTCCCTATCGGTAGGAGAAAATAACAGAAGCTAACCAGAGAATATTGAAAAGCAAAGCAGCTAGTAAGCCTGATCTTTATTAAAGCTGTTGCAACAGGGTGCTCCCCTCACACGCAGGAGGACAGAGGAGGACCCAGAACAAAAGTGTGCCCGCCCTTATATAGACATTTTAAATTGCCCTCCCTGCAGTTCAAGACCACCCCCAGAAACATCATACATACATCACAGGAGGGGTGTAGCCCAAGACCACCCTCCAGATACATCATACCTACATCATAGAAAAGGCGGTCTACAACAGAAATCTGAGTGCGTTGTTTATCTCCTGTCTGGCAGGTTACCTATTAATGGTCACTTGATTGGATACCCCGGGGAGGCTGGCCAGTCTTTTGTAATGATAAATACTAAGTTCCTGAGCCAGGTCACAGGCTCACCCTATTCATACACAGACATACCCTTAAGACAGGGTTTGTGAAGGAAAAGACAATGGGGAGGCTTTTCCATTTTCCTTCAACCTTGCAGAGAAATATTTGAGGTCAATTTGGGAGGGACAAAATGGTTTCAGGACTTTTTGTGTGGGCTTACTTTCTTTGGGGGACCCCAAAGTTGTTGACCTTTCTAAGGAAAGGCTGCTCCCGCCCTCACACTGCTGCCCCATGCTGCTCACGCATGGCTGGACATCGGTTCTCGCAGTGGGATCATGGTCTGGGGCTGGGCAGCCAGGCACGATGGGGGTGGCACGGGAGGCAGGCGGGGGTCTCGCCCGGGCAGGGACAGGCGAAGCAAGCTGGGCCGTCCGCATCGCCGCAGCAGAGAAGCACGCTTACTCAGCCGCAGTCTCGTCGTCCTTGCTTGGGGAGGAAGGGAGGGGAGGAGAGAACGTGTCTGGGAGGGGATCAGGTAGGTGAAGGAAACGTGGTTCGCGTGAAGGAGTGTGGAGGTGGTGGGGGCAGCGGGAGGAGGGAGGGGCGCTGGGGGCAGCAGTTGCAGCGCGTAGCCTTGAGCGCGGGAATCTTTTGAGGTAGAATGGACGGGGGGAGCGGGAGTCACGTTTATGATGCGCAGAGTTTGGATTTGATACCCCGCTTTATCACTACCCGAAGGAGTCTCAAAGCAGCTAACATTCTCCTTTCCCTTCCTCCCCCACAACAAACACTCTGTGAGGTGAGTGGGGCTGAGAGACTTCAGAGAAGTGTGACTGGCCCAAGGTCACCCAGCAGCTGCGTGTGGAGGAGCGGAGACGCGAACCCGGTTCCCCAGATTACGAGGCTACCGCTCTTAACCACTACACCAGAGCTTGGGATGCAAGCACACACCACACAGCCGAGGAGGTGGTGTGTTGCGGAGCCAGCGGAAAGAGCTCCAGACTGCAGGAAAGCATCCCGGAACCTTCCCGCCTCCAATGGGCCCTTGAGGCGTGCAGGCACCAACACCCCGCTTCTCTTCGCTTACCTCTCCCCCCCGGACTTTCTGCCTGGCGCCCTCCACTGCTTGGCGTCCGGGCTTGCCGTGCCATTACACCCAATGGTAAAGACATCCCTGGCTGTGTCCTGTGATCAGAAAACTCATGCCTCTAATCTGTTTAGGTAAAGGTAAAGGGACCCTTGAGCATTAGGTCCAGTCGTGACCAACTCTGGGGTTGCGGCACTCATCTCGCTTTATTGGCTGAGGGAGCCAGCGTACAGCGTACAGTCATGTGGCCAGCATGACTAAGCCTCTTCTGGTGAACCAGAGCAGCGCACGGAAATGCCGTTTACCTTCCCGCCAGAGCAGTACCTATTTATCTACTTGCACTTTGACGTGCTTTCGAACTGCTAGGTGGGCAGGAGCTGGGACTGAGCAACGGGAGCTCACCCCGTCGCAGGGATTCGAACCGCCGACCTTCTGATTGGCAAGTCCTAGGCTCTGTGGTTTAACCCACAGCACCTCCCGCGTCCCTCTCTAATCTGTTTACTGTGGCACAATTTTCCGAAATGGCAAAGCACGGCTGTGTCTGATGCTAGACTCAATGAAATTGGTATCACCGGGTATTATATTATTTCTTCCCTGATGAATTTTCTGTCACATTTGTTTGATTTATACTGGATGCCCCCTCCCCCAGGGCTGTTCATGTTTACTCATTTTAGTATATTAAAATCATGTTATTCCTCCCTCTTCCACCAGGACTCGTAAATGATTCTGCAATTACAATGTAAACTACAAACACTCAGAGACACTCCCACCTTTTCCTCCATGCATACAAATTAAAAGATGCCATAAAAAAAACCTAAGGAAAAAGATGTTTTTTTATTTCATAATTTGAAAGGCAAATCAATTTTTCAGGTAACAGATGTAACATTTGATTCACAAAATTGCTGTCCATTTTAGCAGTTCAGCGTTCCCGAGTTAGAGATCTATCTAATTTTAGTTTGTCATACTATCAAATGTGATCATTTTAAAGTCCATCCTATCATATCCCCTCATTCCACGTTGACTGTTGCGTGGTGGTCTGATGGCTGCCTTTAAAAACATGCTACATGCATTGAAAATGGGGCCATAAATACCCCTAGGAATGATGTGACATGATGTTGTCTTGTCCGCCCATCTGTCTCCAAGATATTGTATGGAAGAAAGATGGCTGCCCTCCATGGACAACTCCCATGATCCCTAGCTAGCAGGACCAGTGGTCAGGGATGATGGGCATTGTAGTCTCAAAAACATCTGGAGGGCCGAGGTTGAGGAAGCCTGATGTAAACACACACCACAAAGCAATATCTCCCTGAAGCATTCAAGGGAGTTTTTGCATTATAGTGTGCTTTTCACATCACTCTTGGCTTTCTTCAAAACTTGTGGGTATCAGCTGAGGTATCCCAGTAAAACTTCACAGGCACAGGTAGCAGAATTATCTGTTTAAAGTTCAGGTGCTAGTTTGACCCATTGCACCCATTTAATAGGGTCTGGGGAGAAGAAAAGATGCAAAATACATTGCAATGTCATTATAAGGCCACTTAAACACTGTATTTCATTGGAAGAATACGTTGTCCAAATTCAACCCAGCTTCAAAACTGCACAGACCCTGTTAGATTAAACCAGAGATGAGAAGGGAGGAAAGAATATGTCTATTCTGCCAACAGCGTCTATCAGTTCTATTGCAAACTGCCCTGTGATCCTCAGGTAAAGGGTGATCTAGATATTTAATAAATGAATAAAATAAATAAATAAATTGCTGAAACTATTGCTCGTACATCCTGGGCTCTTGGTTGTAGAGGTCTGTGCTTTAATGCTCCATGCCTGAGCATTTTTTATTTTTTTGTTTTGCCCTGAGCTTTCCTTGTGAAAACCCGCTCTTTAGCGCTCAATCGGAGCAAACGCCAATTTGGGTTTTCCGTGGATGGGTGTTTGCTCTGATTGAGCTTCAGAGAGTGGGTTTTTGCAGGGAAAGCTCTGGAGCATAACAAAGGCGCTCGGACATGGAGCTTCAAACTGCAGCCTGATTGGAGGAAAGAGAGAGGAATGGTCAGTGGTGCAGCAATAAAACTGCTAGCAGATTTGCAAAGCTAAGCAGGGTCTGGTATGGTTTCAAATTGGATGGGAGACCATGTGTTGAGATTCCTGCATTGCCAGCGGTTGGACTAGATCACCGTCAGGGTCTCTTCCAGTTCCACAATTCTATGATTCTCTGTCCATAGTTACATCACTTAAATCTTTCATATTATAAATGAATGACAAAATATATGTGCAGCTCTTGCAATATGAAAAAACCCACTAGATGGTGATCTTTGTTAACAAGATGTTTCCTTCTACACAGCTGGGCAAGTTTAAGTTCTCCCACCAGTTTTGCTGGTGGAGAGTATATGGGAGTAATTCATCACAAAGCCATTAATTCAATCAGTCCAGATTATGTTGGAAAATGAATATTTTATATGATCATATTTTATATTAACAGATATGCTCTCATAGAACTGGTGATTTTGCAAAATTGCTTTTTAAACTTTATGGATCTTTGCAGTATTAACAGGATCATCCTTGTATTAGAGCAGCCATATCTGGACTATGGTGAAAGGGCAACTGCAATCATTAATTAAAAGGGGATAGCAGCTATATAAAAACAATCAACTAAACAATTATGCTTTACAGCTTAAGCACCATGAAATTAGCAGTGAAAAGAAACATATAAAAAGGGGGCAAACATTTCAAAGGGTGGCAACAGATAGCACAAACCAGGATGTGCGAGAGCTCAGGAGTCATGTGATGCAGGACAGTCAATCCCACTGTATGTCGCAAGAACAAATTAAGATCCCCACTGGATCAGGACCATTTAATCAAAGGATTACCTAATACACAGTGACAGCAGTCATGAAATTAAAAGACGCCTGCTTCTTGGGAGAAAAGCAATGACAAACCTAGACAGCATCTTAAAAAGCAGAGACATCACCTTGCCAACAAAGGTCCATATAGTTAAAGCTATGGCTTTCCCAGTAGTGGTGTATGGAAGTGAGAGCTGGACCACAAAGAAGGCTGATTGCCGAAGAATTGATGCTTTTGAATTATGGTGCTGGAGGAGACTCTTGAGAGTCCCATGGACTGCAAGAAGATCAAACGTATCCATTCTTAAGGAAATCAGCCCTGAGTGCTCACTGGAAGGATAAATCCTGAAGCTGAGACTCCAATACTTTGGCCACCTCATGAGAAGAGAAGACTCCCTGGAAAAGACCCTGATGTTGGGAAAGATTGAGTGCACAAGGAGAAGGGGACGACAGAGGACGAGATGGTTGGACAGTGTTTTCGAATCTACCAGCATGAGTTTGACCAAACTGCGGGAGGCAGTGGAAGACAGGAGTGCCTGGCGTGCTCTGGTCCAGGGGGTCACGAAGAGTCGGACATGACTAAATGACTAAACAGCAACAATACACAGTATCCAGCCTCCCACAGTGGACCCCCAGATGCCCCTTGGAAGTCCACATAAGCAGGGCCTGAAGGCAGTAGTGCCTTCTTCTTTCTCTGGCGATCACTCGTAGCTGAGTAAGATTGTCTTCCATAAAAACGCTTTTAACAATGAGTCCATTGGAGATGGCATTTATAAGTGGTCCATGTTTCACAAGCATACAGTAAGGTTGGTAGTGTACAATAGCTTTGTAAACAACATAGCTTTTTAAACAAAGCAGTGCCTTACCGCAGGGATGAGTGTCCAGTGTCATACTGCCTCTGATCTTGGAATTAGTATGCAGCCATTATGACTCATGGCCATTGATAGCTGCATATCATCCAAAATCCTGTTATGTAGCTCAGCCTTGCCATTATCTGCAATAATGCTAAGCTTTCTAAGATAATCTGAAATGGTCAAGATGAAGATGAGGCCTTTTTCACTCTTGCATCATACGTACTTCCTTTTGAGGTAGTAGGTACCTGAGCTATATACAAATAAGTATTTGAATTTCGGACTTAACCAGAGGGCTGCTATTTTCCAGGGACAGTCCCAGATTTACAGAAGCCATCCTGGTTTCTGAATTGATCCCAGAATGTCCTGCTTTTCCTTAGGACGTCCCTATTTTCATCAGATAAATGTTGGGTGGTATGGAGTTATATGACCCCCGAGCCAAAGAGATAAGTAACTATACAACCTTTAAAAGACATCTGAAGGCAGCTCTGTATGGGGAAGTTTTTTTTAAAAAATGTTTAATATTTTATTATTGTTTATATATATGTTGGAAGCCACCCAGAGTCAGGTGGATGGGGTATAAATAATAAAATGATAATGATGACGGATTAGGATGTCCCTATTTTCAGCAAGGAAATGTTGGAGGGTATGGGGCTGTTTACAAGCATTTAATGATCAACTAGTCTTATAGGTTCTGAAAACCCTCCCCAAGCAATAAATATATGTGAAGTCTTCTTAAAATAAGCACAGAGGGGTTTTGACACGTTTCACTGAGCAATACATTCCAAAATGTTTGGGGCTGTAACCGAGAAGGCCTTGTCCCTTGTATTTCTTCCTTCCTTCCAAAGATGGCATTCCAAACAGGATTCCCCTAAGTCCCTTGCAAATTGTTTGGGATTGCTCAAATAGAGAAATAAGTAGTCTTGTCTCCTAATAAAGAATCTCACAGTCCTATTCAAGCACTTGAAGACCAAACTTGTGAGACTTTTGAGGGTAAGTGGAGAGTTTGTTTGAACCCTGGGTGAGTAAAAAGGGGGTGTGTAAAAGGAAAATAAACTGATACTGATTTTTATATACAGTGGTACCTCGGGTTACATACGCTTCAGGTTACAGACTCTGCTAACCCAGAAATAGTACCTTAGGTTAAGAACTTTGCTTCAGGATGAGAACAGAAATCGCACGGCGGCAGCGGGAGGCCCCATTAGCTAAAGTGGTGCTTCAGGTTAAGAACAGTTTCAGGTTAAGAACGGACCTCTGGAATGAATTAAGTACGTAACCAGAGGTACCACTGTATTAGTAACTTTTCATTAATGTAACATTTTATATGTAACTGTATTTTTGCAATCTTTTGTTAACGTTATCTGTCGTTGCTTCAGTTTTTTGAACACCGCTTAGAGATATTTTAAAACATATTAGCCCATACCACAGTTAAATCATAAAAAACCCAAAATCCTTCCCACCTGAGCCCCTGTATTGCACCTGGCTCTAGCTGATGAATCTTGGAGGTGTGGTGAAAAGCAGCAAAGCAGATAATACAAGCAGAAGTTGGCCTCTCTTCTCTACACGGATTGTGCAGGTGTCAGGTGAAAAGAACAAAGTGAATCTCGAGAAGGAAGGCTAAGAAATGATCAGAAAACAAGTATGATAAATTTGCAGGGCTGCACTGACTTTGCATTGAAAAGAGCACTGGCTGCGCTGTGCAGTGCTTCATATCAGTCTTTTTCAGCTGACACCTTGGTAAAATACACTTTTCTTTTTTAAGAACAGCACCTAAACTATCCTGTCGTTTCATCTCCAGTGGATACCCTCCCCGCTCTCTCTGAAACTGTATATTTGTGATACCGGTAGCAAGTTGCAAAAAAAATGATTGATAGGGATTCTTTGAAGGTTTTCAAGGAATTAAGCAGCCTAGTTGCAAGTATTTGATACCTCAAACACAAGGAAGAGGAGAGAACTCAATCAGACAAGCATCCTTATGGTCTACAATGTTCTCCAAAAGGCATTCTGCTGTGCTCTCACTGTTCCCCCACAAGCACGCAATATTGCGGACTGTCAGTACAGAGATGTGCTGTTGGTTTTCTGCCTTACGCACCAGTCAGAATGAAAATAGGCAGCGTGCCAACGCATCAACAAAAAGCAGAAGCCCTCATTTACAATCGAAAATGTTGCCGCTTCAAAAGCGCAGGCAGCATATGTTGCGGAGCATATGAATAAATCAAATGCCATCCGCAGCTAATGAAACACGCTTCAATATGCTTAACTCCAAATTACTTTTGATTAAAAAGCTTACTGGGGGGACCAATGTAAACCACTGCTAGGTGCGCTCTCCTCAGAGTTATGTCCTGAATCTAATTTGAAACGGATAAGAACCAGCAATTCATTTCCTGTGCATTTTTTTATACATATATATTATAAATAGCAATTGCAAGTGTGTCATTCAAACTGCTGGAAAGGCCTGTATGTTTAGCAGAGTCATCATGCAAATGAAGTTCAAGTGATTTAATATGCTCACCATCTCAGGTAGATATCTTGATCAATGCTGTGTTTTCAGCGATTGAACAAATGGGCTACGTCGGTGAAGTGTTTCAAGCTATTCTGATTCTCTCCGCAAAGCGTTCAATGCAGGATATACCTTTAGCACAATAAGCAAACAGCGAGGAGTGATTAATGGACAGATTTCGGCAACGATGCTCATAAGAGTAGCTGCAGGGGTAGAACACACTGGCAGACATGAGAGAAAATTTACACTGCAATCTGTATAAATGCACGGCTTAGGTTTAGGTACTCGGCGGGGTAGTGTAGCAACTCTGCCCCCTTGCCACATGGTAAGCCTTTTTGGAAAACCTGTGAGAATAACAAAAAGCAATGTAAAGAGGTAAAAGCTTGCTGGGAAATGATATATAATGAGTTAAAGAAAATGTTTAAAAACACATTTGTTAAAAACAAGAAAATTTTCCATTGTGCAGAGTGGATAGATACTGAGACAAGATAAAAAATTGTTCTTATATGCAACAACTGCATCAAGAATTTTAGTTACAGGCAGGTAGCCGTGTTGGTCTGCCATGGTCGAAACAAAATAAAAAAATTTCTTCCAATAGCACCTTAGAGACCAACTAAGTTTGTTATTGGTATGAGCTTTTGTGTCGAAAATCTAATCTCCCTATAAGCAAATCAGGATAAATGTTCAGTAAACGTGTCTTCTGGCGCACCCTTTCTGTGACATCAGCCCAATCTGTGACATCATCATATGAGAACAGTCACAGCCAGAGGGCTGACAAATATACTTGTGGCATAAAGCCAATACTTACATGACGAAGCTGGCATGTTCATAACATGGGCTGAGTGGCTCTCCAGGCTGTGTTGAAGCTGGCTAGGGAAAACTGGCATAATGTTTCGGGATGGCAGACCTAGCTTCTTAGGATCTTGGGTTTCTGTGCAATGATGATGATGATGATGATGATGATAATTTATTATTTATACCCCACCCATCTGGCTGGGTTTCCCCAGCCACTCTGGGCAGCTTCCAACAAAAGATTAAATACAGTGGTACCTCGGGTTAAGAACTTAATTCATTCTGGAGGTCCGTTCTTAACCTGAAACTGTTCTTAACCTGAGGTACCACTTTAGCTAATGGGGCCTCCTGCTGCCGCTGCACAATTTCTGTTCTCATCCTGAAGCAAAGTTCTTAACCCGAGGTACTATTTCCAGGTTAGCGGAGTCTGTAACCCGAGGTACCACTCTACATTAAAACATCAGTCATTAAAAACTTTCCTAAACAGAGCTGCCTTCAGATGTCCTCTAAACATCAGATAGTTATTTATTTCTTTGTCATCTGATGGGAGGGCGTTCCACAGGGCGGGTGCCACTACTGAGAAGGCCCTCTGCCTGGTTCCCTGTAGCTTTGCTTCTCAGTGAGGGAACCGCCAGAAGGCCCTCGGCACTGGACCTCAGTGTCCGGGCAGAATGATGGGGGTGGAGATGCTCCTTCAGGTGTACTGGGCTGAGGCCGTTTAGGGCTTTAAAGGTCAGCACCTGTTATGTATTGAAGTTCTCACCCTGGCCACCAGGAGTATTGTATATGTAGTTTTCACTCAGGTCTACGTCAGTTATTTTAGGCGGGAAACCCTGGGTTGTGTTGCTACATTGTTGACAGTCGGCTGCCTATAAAAGCAGGCCGGCTGAGCTGTTTGCTGTTCAGTTCTGTCCAGCTTACAAATAAAGAGCTGCTCTGGAGAAATCGCTGTGTCGTCTGCTATGTTCGCCCACAACTTAACAGCACCAACACTTTGAATTGTGCTTGGAAGAGCATCCTTTTGCACACAGAATGTTCCTGGAAGCTCCAGGTAGGGTTAGGAATCACATCCACCCTGAACATATTTTGAAGAATTACAGCTTTTCCCAAAGAATATTGGGAACTGTGTTATGCTAAGGGTGCTGACTTCTCAAAGTTACAATTCCCAGTACCCTTTAAAAACTGCAGTTCTTAGGAGTCCCCATGGCTGTTAAAGTGGTACAAGAGTGCTTTTCATCTTTGGTGAGGATAAGAATTGAGCTCAGATAGAATTGATAAGCACAAGACACATTGAGTCCCTTGGCCTTTCCCCACTTGATGGGCAAAGTCACGCTTTCTTGCTATGGGGTAGCAGCTGCTGCACACTCCAGAAGGTTAGGGTGACCCCAAGAAAGGTGTTTTTTACATGGGGAGCAGTCATACTTTGGTCTTGCCCAAATTGTACACATATATCCAACTCAGCTGGGGAGGAATCCATGGGAAATTTGCTCACCACAATCCCGTGGGATACTTTTGATTTGAAAAGCTGACTGGGGGAAATGTAAACCACTGCTTTTCAGAGTAATGTGCTGAATCTAATTTGAAATAGATAAAAACTAACAATTCATTTCCTGTGCATTTTATGTTTTTATGCTGTATCTTGAAATGCTCCTGGTCTGGAAATATTTGCACATTAATCCAGCTGTAATGAAACTGACTAGTTTGGTTATTTCAGAAATTCATGGCTAGAGCATTAGACCCGGGTCCCCTGCTTTTTACCCTTTCAGATTGAACAAAATCACTTTGCATCATTCAGTAAATGTATGGAAAAAGCAAGAGAAGCTAGGACTTACTACTCATACAAGAAATGTGGCCCAGGAACATCAGAGAAGCAAATTGGTGAATGGGGAAGCTGGTTTGGAACTGGGTTCAACAATACATTTGCATTAAAAGTTAACAATAGAATGCACTCTGAAAATGTCAAATTTCATAGATGGTTGTACGACTTTTTTTTCTTGTAGGTGTCTCGAAGGAAGCTGCTCGCTGCTACAAATGTTTTCAGCTCTGTTTAGCTGTCATGGCTCACAATGAACCAAGCAATCTTGGAATAGTGCATGGGTAGGCAACCTAAGGCCCGGGGGCCGGATCCGGCCCAATCGCCTTCTAAATCCGTCTCGCGGACGATCCAGGAATCAGCATGTTTTTACATGAGTAGAATGTGTCCTTTTATTTAAAACGCATCTCTGGGTTATTTGTGGGGGCCTGCCTGGTGTTTTTACATGGGTAGAATGTGTGCTTTTATTTAAAATGCATCTCTGGGTTATTTGTGGGGCATAGGAATTCATTCATTTTTGCCTACCAATGCCCTGCACTTTCCAGAGCACTTCCCCCTCATTTTTCATACAGCAAAAAGTCCACTTTTAAAAAATAAATAAATGGGTTTGTTGCACAAGAATGCAAAATCCACTTCAGTTGTGCAGTATGAACTTCCTAGTATGCACTTGAATTCTGCCTGCAAAATAGTGAAAGCCTAGAAGTGGCTTCTGTTAATCTTTGTGCTACTTACTAGCAGAAGTTAGCTGAAGCAAACAGGCATTCCTATGACAGATTCCCCAGCAGCAGCTGATCCAACTATTCCCCCCTCAAAGGCTGCATGCACCCCAGTTTTTCTAACTGCAGCTAATTCTCTTCTCTCTCTCTCTCTCTCTCTCTCTCTCTCTCCTCCATATTCAAACTGTATTCATTAAGATTGCTGGGAACCTTTTCCACGTGTTTATCCAATAAATTATCCAAAACGAATGGATAACTTTGCCTTTAAATCTCTCAGCCCTCTACTACCCCCAAACCTCAATGTAAAATGTTGCTCTGTACATACACATCTTTATGTGAAGCCTGAGGCTTTGGGAATAGCAACACACACACTTAAATCAGTATTCAGGGAGAGCAAACAAGGAGAGCAGTGTCTGGATTGCAAGCAGCTCCCCAAGGCATAGAAGGACTGAGACATTCGCAACTGTCTCATGTCCTTTTTATAACACAAATGGAAATAGTACTGTGCGGATGCAAGGAAAGCACAAACATATGATACAGTACTTTAAAGAAGGGGGAGCCCAATGGCCTGGGCGTGAGGGATCCTTCCCAAACCAAGCTTTTGGGAGTCTGGACTCCCCCAGGGCCAGATTTAGGTTTGATGAGGTCCTAAGCCAGGCATCCCCAAATGCCGCCCTCCAGATGTTTTGGGACTACAACTCCCATCATCCCTAGCTAGCAGGACCTGTGGTCAGGGATGATGGGAATTGTAGTCCCAAAACATCTTGAGGGCTGAGTTTGGGGATGCCTGCCCTAAGCTACTGAAGGTAATGGGGCCCTTTATATGTCCATCTCTCCTTTGTCAACAACAAATTGTTGCTGTTTTTTTGTGAGTATATGCTATATGATAATTTATGGACCTAATAGGTATCTAAAGCCATTTGCACACAACAAAATATGTGTTTTATCAAAGTACCGGTAATTGCTGAACTGAAATATAATTAAGAAGAAGTATATTAATAGTGAAATAATTATTAAGTGCTAGCTTAAAATGATTTTTTATTCACAACGAACTTAATAATGCAAACACACTGGCATTTGGCAATAACAAAAGTTCATTTAGAAGCACTCTTTAATATTAGATAACAGGTACAACAACTTGACCTACATTCAGCTGTGCTGCAGTCTGCAGCTGCATGCTACATGTTGTAGTGCAACCAGTCCATGCAGAATGTAGGCACCCTATATATAGAAATGAGCAAACCGGTGATATTTTAGGGAGCAGGCTAGCAGGCGGGGCCCATGACTTACATCATAGGAGCCTACACAACACAAAACACTGTTGCTGTATGTAGGTTTTATTTTATTTGTTTTTTTAATCTTATATTTTGGAAATGTGCATCCAAGTTTTTCCCCTTTAATTTTTTTGGGAGCCCCCAAGAGAGTGGGGCCCTAAGCTAAAGCTTGTTTAGCTTATATGTAAATCCGGCACTGGGCATCCCCAGCTATCAGGTCTCTGTTTTGCTTGTGTGGAGTATTCCCCAAGTGGACATGCAGAGTGAATTGACAAAGGCACTAACTCCTGAACTGAACACAGTCCGAAACTGAACTTGGCTTCCTTCTTCATATTAATATTTTTGAAAATATTTATAGTCCATCACATGGCTCAGTACAGTGGTACCTCGGGTTAAGAACTTAATTCATTCTGGAGGTCCGTTCTTAACCTGAAACTGTTCTTAACCTGAGGTACCACTTTAGCTAATGGCGCCTCCCGCTGCCGCCGCACCGCTGGCGCGCAATTTCTGTTCTCATCCTGAAGTAAAGTTCTTAACCTGAGGTACTATTTCTGGGTTAGCGGAGTCTGTAACCTGAAGCTTCTGTAACCTGAGGTACCACTGTACTGTTGTTCTCCCCTCTGCCTGTGAATGTAGCACCTCAGATGTGTGGTTGGGGAATAATGCGTGTAGATATCGTCGTCA